TTAGAATCGTTAGAGTTAACAAGCCATCCTTTGACCCATTTAGCAATAGACTGGAGGTCGTTTTGGATATCAGCTACCATTTTGACCTTATCAAACTGATCAAACTTACTATCGGGACGGGCGTAAATTTCTTCTAATTGTGACAGGTCCTATCTCCGTAACCGGGTCTGGGTGGTGTTCATACCATTTATTATTATTATTATGATTATTATTATTATTATTATTATTATTAGTGAATGAGGAAGCACCACACCAACACAATGTCCCCGGGATATAAATATTAAAAGTCCCATATATCCCCCATCATGAACGTAATAGGGGTATACCAGGCCCATTTTTACCGCCAAGTGTATGCGATATGGCAACATGTTTTGATAAAATCAACGTATAACCTTGTAGCTGTTTCCTGGTTAGGTAACTTTGGGTTCAGGCAGTCTCCGATTGAGGATGTATCCAAGTGCCTTGGCTGTTCCATCATTAAAAATTAAAAAGAAGGACTCTCGATTCAAAGTCATGATATTCCTCCATTATCCATGATCATTAATAACTATACACTGCATGACAGACACTAAGAGTTTTTTTTTTTCAGCTTGTTACGGTTAGGAAAGAGACAATCAACTCTATGATACTGATCGGGGTTCTTATTCAAATTTACCTTAACTAAACATGTACCGATCAAGGTTCGAAGACATGCGGGTCATGCCTGGTCTGTAATGATTGTTATTGCCGGTACTGAAATAAAAATATCGCACCAATGTACGTTGTTACCAGATTATTGGTTCTGCCTAAATATTCCTCGACACGACCTTAATCAATACCTAGCTGAAAGATAAAGACAAAAACAAAATAATGGTGACGCGAAAAAAGAAAAAAAATCTACAAGTGAGTCATTAGATTCAAGTCGAAGAGAAACATGTTCGCTATACTACAAAAATGACTAAAGCGCGGTGCGGTGTTTACATGTGGTAGATGCGTTCTGTTTGGTGACTAGCAGCACTAGATACGACGCCAACGACGTTGTCTTTAAAGAATTTCACCTTCAAGAATATGACTTTAAGACGTAAAAAATTAAGCTAAACCATTCGCTAGAAACCCCAACAATTAGACTAGGGTAAGACAGAAAACAGCAATGATTTTTGTCCCACCACCCAGTGAAAAAAATAAGAAAAGAAAGGGTACATTATTGGCATCAGCTTGAAGGTCAATTGCAAACAGCATACGAAGATAAACATGATATTCGATGTCCGACACCACGTTGGTCTGAACTTGAGTACAATAAAAAAAGAAAGTGTGGTGGATCGGAGAAAATACGGGAGAGGTTTTGCAATCAAAAGCATAATTATTAAGGACAGGATTTTCGCAGAAAAATGAAAGATTCACAGCTTTGCAAGATCAGAAACTTGCTGCTACAAGTTTATGAAACGGTAGGATTTATCAATGTGTACAAAAAGATCCATTGCGTAGAAGATGCGAACTGATTATGAAGAAAACCTTTTTTTCTTTTTCTCTCTCAAAATCAGCTCTGTTGAAATGGGAGTGCGTTTAATACGCCAGTGTGTGTCTCTTGTGCACAGATGTCACATACACGGTATTATGGGAAAATATGAGAGTTCATTTTTATATATGTGAACAAATTTGAGTAAAATAATGATGAGGTGGAAAAATTCATGTGTGACGCGTTTCCTCGTTTACGACTTATCAGTAATGTTCTTGTTGATAGAATTACATATATGTAGGAAGAAGGTGGGGGATATGATAATGCAAAAGTTGGTTAGAAATATGCATAGACAGGAAACGCTGAAAATGTTGGAAACGCTAAAATTTATTTTTTAATTTTTTTACGGTATTATTCTCTTGCTTTAATCGAGCATAAGTATAACTATAGAAGATTGTGTAGCGTCATTCTCTCAACGAGGAAATTTATCTCCAAGCTCTTCAAATAATGAAACCTTTTTTGCGTTTTTGATTCTTTTTGAATTCTTAAAATATAATTAATCCTTTTCATTATTTATTTATTATTTTGAAATTTATAATGGAACACGGCAGAATATGAATAGCGGCTTGGCTTGCGAAATTGGAGAGTCGAGTTCAAATTCCAGTCGAGTTCATTGCATTCACTTACGTGCTAATACCATTGGAAATTTATGGCCCCATCTTTTCTCTCATTCAACTATAGGTAAATCACTATAGCCTTGGGTGGCAGCTGGTCTAGAAGAAGGACAACTCTGATTTCAAAACCTGAGTGTATAGTCTACGGTCCGATGGTAACCCACATCTTATTTCATGGCCTTCATCTGGCGGTCAAAAACTAATCCCGAGGATAATCTACGTGAAAGGATTCTGAGAAAAGAGTATCAAAGTAAAAAACGAAAACACTGAACCAATGCAAGAAGAATAGATTTTGAAGAGAGACGCTTTCGTTTTATTCTTAAATTCTACATAAAAAAAATTAAAATTAAAAAAATTAAAAAGGAATAAAGATACAAATAATTAAAATTCAATAATTCAAAATTAAATTAAAAATAAAGATTCAAAAATTAAATTAAAAATAAATTAAAATTCAAAAACTTAAAATTTCAAAAACTCGAAAATTAAAATTCTGAAATTTCAAATTCTAAAAAATTCAATCAAATTAAAATTAAACAATTAAAATTACAAAAATGAAAAATAAAAAATTACAAAATTAAAATTAAATTACAATAATTAAAATTCAAAAAATTCAAAATTTAAAATTCAAAAATAGAAATTAAAACTATAAATATTAAAAAAATTAAAATTACAAAAAAATAAAAATGAAAACATTAAAAATGAAAAAATTAAAATAAAAAAAAGAAGAAATGTAGAGGTTTTCCTTTAAAGTAGATCTTTCTTTCACAGAAAATATTAATAAAAGTTAGAGCAGCATTATTTTATTTTCCAATTATTTTCTTTCCATGACCCTATAAAATCTTTCTGCTATTAAAGTGATGCAAATTTTTACAGTTTATTATTTTTAAATCTTTTAATTTTATAAATTCATAGATTTGTAAAATATTTCGTTACTGTAAACTTGTTGTGACCTCTGTCCGAACAAGGAGCAATTCCATGGACACCTTGCAGAATGTGTCCTTATTATTAGAAACTCGCAGCTCTACGATCTTTACTGCATCGCATTTGCAACATCAATAGACGACTTTCCCAGAGAAAATTATTTATGTTTTAACGTTTCATTCAAATGACTTAATTGATTAATTAATGCAAGTTCTTCTTTCAAAGGTTGCTCCAGTTCTAGATTTTTCAAGGTTCTTTCGGACTGCGCTCTTTCATTTCGTTCAAAATTTCTTTTTTAACACAGACTATTCTTGACTCGTGCTTGCACCTACTGACTCATTAACCTACACTTCAGTGAACCCCAGCTTCGTTTTCGCTACATGTTTTTCTGAAGATTAAACAAGATCGAATGTGCATTTTACATGAATGCCTCTTAAATAAAATAAAAAAAAACAAGACTTTTTCCACAAATAATTCTAAATAATTCAGCACATAGAACAAGAATTCTTTTTTTTAAAAATCAATGAAATAAACCATCTTACGATAATTTGATTTAATCTATTTATTAACATGTAATCTACTTTTCTCACGACCCCACCGCCCCCGTCCATAACATGTTAGAGCCGATTCAGACATGTAAATTGTGTTTAAAAAAAACATTTTAGGCTGTTTTCGACAACTGGATTGTTTTGCTTTAGGTAAAACATTTGATGCCTGTCCGAGCATCAGTTGGTTTGACGACATTATAGCCTTTTGGTCATCAAGTATGAGTATGATATTGTTTTAAGCAACTACAAAAATATGTTTTCACTCCCGCCCACACACATATGTTTAAATACACAGAAAATAAATTTTACACTGGACGCCAAAATTTTAAGAATTTAAAAAAATTCTAAAAAAATTAAAGCTAATCGTAGCTGTATCGTCTCGTCAGCAGTTCTCGTATCTTACCTCGCCACCGGTATCTCGAAGACTCCATCGATATGACTATTATTATTATTTTTATTTTCTTTGATTTCCGGTGTTTACACATTTCTTTCCGGGTCACGACCAGGGACCTAAGTTTAGAAATGGCATCATGACACTTTCCACTGACAAATAAATAAATAAATATATAAATAAATACAAAAAAATTACATAGATAAAGCCCTTCGTAAAGTATGGGCTGTACATGTCAGAACAATTTTTTGTATCTCTTTGAGGCATGGACTTCCAGGAATCCCTTCAATTAGTCTACTGCAATCTTTTCCAACCAGTCCTAGGGCTCCAACTACAACAGGGATTGTTGATGTTCCCATATGCCACATTTTCGAGATTTCTATTTCAAGATCCTTGTATTTTGACGGCTTCTTGAATATCTTCAAAGATACATTGCAGTCAGCTGGGACTGCCATATCAATAAGGAGGCACATTTTTTGTTTGCGGTCTTTAATAACAATGTCTGGGCGGTTGGCCTTGATTGTTCTGTCTGTGTGTATTGTGTAGTTCCATAGAATTGTAACAGGTCCTATCTCCGTAACCGTTATTATTATTATTATTATTATTATTATTATTATTATTATTATTATGAATAATCCTTTTGAAGAAGGTAAGGCATAATGTAACAGATAATTTTTTGTAATTCATTTACTCACAAAAAATAAATTAAATCATCAATAATAATTTAAGGTTTTGGAATCATTTTTTTAGTCATTAAATTGAATGATTACGTCTTGCAGGTTATTTAAAAACAGAAATATATGTTTTGGATTGTAAGAATATTTTTTTTTCCTTTTTAGATATTAATAGTTTAGTGATACAAATCGTACTAATTAACCCATGGTTGAGGGGAGATGTTGATTCATACCTTTCCAAAGACCATTTGCGCGTAAGTGAATGTAACGAACCCAACGAGAATTGGAACTTAAATGTTCGATTAACAATTGCGAGCCTTTGTCCATTACACCATCTGCACCTGCAAGTTTAGAGCACCAAACGGTCACCAAACCAAGTACTGACCAGGTTCGACGTTGCTTAACTTCGGTGATCAAACGGGCACTGGTGTTTCAAAATGATGTGGTCGTAAGCTTTGTTTAATTAAAATAGAGTCCGAATTCGCGATGAAAATGTTAATTGCTAAAGAGGAAAGACATATATTTCGTCGGATGCTGAAAAAGGAAACAAAGTGATGAGGAAAGAGATGAGATTTTTGTAGTAGAGGAAACACAACTGTAAGAAGGAAAACAAAGTAAGCGAGAAAGAAAGGCCTGCTCGACTTAACAAGCAAAAGAAAGAAAAACAATGGACATGGATGAAAAAAGAGTAAAAAAAAAACCAAAAAAAAAAAACCCGAAAAGGACATCAACCTTAACAAACGTAGTGAAAGGTTTATTAAATATATATTAAAATATATTATTAAATATATAACAATGCAAAAATTAAAATATTGCTTAAAGTAAAATCTCTACTGCGAATGTCAGCTTGTTGCTATATTGAAAGGAAAATGACATTTAGAAAATACGTGCATCATCTAAGATTATTTTTCTCGTATTTTTTGTCTATTTCAGTCATAATACTGAATGATACGCTGAAGTCAATATTTAGTGTTTGTCTCGTGTTATTCTTACAAAATCTATGAATAATTGTTTTTCTTTTGCCGACAATAATCGGAAAGTATTATTATTTTTTAGAGTGTGTGATGTGAACGTTGTTTTGGTCCATGTCCACGTACATTTCTTTCCTCTGTGGTTTTGCCAATGTTAAAAGGGCATCAGAACGGGATAATTGAGGTTTTGCCTTCGTTAGAGGCAACAGAATGACTGCTCGGGTGACAGGTTCTTTGACAGGCCACTAACAAAAAGATGAGTCTGATGGGAATTAGCAGGAAGGAAGAGTTTACTAAAAGAATTGTGAGAAATCAAAGCAGAACGTGAAACATAAGTAAGAATAAAATATTTGATTGGTTAAAAACGAAGAAAATGCAAAGGAAGATAAAAAGGGTGGAGATTTGTTAGAAAAAAAAAGATGGATGCGATTTGACAGGATAATCTTTATAGAGAATACTACAGGGAGAGCAAGTGAAAAAACGTGTTGACTGATGAAGAGAAGCAAAGGAAAGAAAGCGTGCAGGTAGGAGGCGAGTTTACGAAATGAAACACAAAAGAAACATCAGGAATATAATAAAGACAATATTTAGAAGAGAAAAAAAAAAGCCAAACTGAGAAGAAAAATGAAATAAAGAAACAAACAAAGAACATTCTACAGTAATGGGATGTTTAGGCAAATTCTCTCCACAAACAGTTCACTCATATGATGACGTCGATTGTCGATTGTCGAAGGGTCCCCTGGTTTTGGGGCTCCTTGTGACAGACCGAGATTAAGAATAAATAGCCAAGACAAAACTAAAACAGATATATAAAGAAAATAAGGAATTAATGTGAGAAGGAAAGACTACGAAGAAGAAGAAGACTACGAAGAAAAAGAAGAAGACTACGAAGAAGAAGACTCCGAAGAAGAAGAAGAAGACTACGAAGGAGAAGAAGAAGAAAAAGAAGAAGAAAAAGGAGAAGAAGACTCCCAAGAAGAAGAAGAAGACTACGACGAAGAAGAAGACTACGAAGAAGACGACGAAGAAGAAGAAGAAGTAGAAGAATACTACGAAGAAGAAGAAGAAGAAGACTACGAAGAAGAAGAAAAAGAAGAAAAAGGAGAAGAAGAAGATTCCGAAGAAGACTACGAAGAAGAAGACTACGAAGAAGAAGAAGAAGACTACGAAGAAGAAGAAAACTACGAAGAAGAAGACTGCGAAGAAGAAGAAGAAGAAGAAGAAGATGAAGAAGAAGAAGACTACAAAGAAGAAGAAGAAAACTACGAAGAAAAAGACTACGAAGAAGATGAAGAAGAAGAAAAAGAAGAAGAAGAAGACTACGAAGAAGAAGAATACGAAGAAGACTACGAAGAAGACTACGAAGAAGAAGAAGAAGAAGAAGACTACGAAGAAAAAGAAGAAGAAGAAGAAGGAGGAGGAGGAGGATTTGGAGGAGGAGGAGGAAACTAAAAGAAATTGGTATGAACACCACCTAGACCCGGTTACGGAGATAGGACCTCTAACAATTTTAAGGGACTGCAGAATACAGACAGAACAATCAATGCTAATCGCCCAGATATTGTTATTAGAAACCGCGAAATCAAAATGTGCCTCTTTATTATTATGACAGTCCCTGCAGATTGCAATGTATCTTTAAAGATATTGAAAAAGTTATCAAAATGCAAGGACATTGAGATCGAAATCTAAAGATTTGCCACATTGGAACATCAACAATCCCCATTGTAGTAGGAGCCCTCGGATTGGTTACAAAAGATTCCAATAGACTCATTAAAGGGATTCCTGGAAGCCCATGTCTTAAAGATATACAAAGAATTGTTCTCATGAGTACACCCTACACCTTACCAAGGGCTTTATCCATGAAAAATATGTGTGTGTTATTTTTTTTCTTTTAATTGCTCAGTGGAAAATGCCATGATGCCATTTCTGACGTTAGGTCTCTGGGCGGGAAACAGAAAGAAATGTGTACACACCAGAAATCAAAGGAAATAATAATAATTCTTGACCTGTTTGAACTAATGATTCGTATAACGTTAATATGAGCAATCTAGTTCACGTTGATTTTCCAGATGTCAGAGCACATCTGGTATATGTCTGGATATTTCAATGAATTTAATCTAGTGTGGCGTTACCTATCCTATATTTAACATCACATTTGGTACGCCCGTCTTATAGTATTCATATTGGTGTTTGTTATATTTTTTTAAATTTAGGATCGATAAAGACTTCTATAGATCTTAAGGAAGATACAGCCTCTAAAGAGATAGAGAATATCGTCAATACACTGACCAAACAACAGAGAAAGACATTATATAAGAATATAAAACTGGCTTCAAAACGTCACAGAAATAAGCAAGAAAGGTGGACTTAATAGAAAGAAAATAAGTGCAGAAATTGCTTGTGATAATGTAAACAGAGAGAAACAATTCAGAATACTAAGAACATTGGCTGAAAACATAAAAATAAACAAATCTTTTAATAGACATCACAAAGAGAAAAGTGTTATTAGGAAAAATGAACAAGGACATTGAATCACAGCAGGAATTCTAATGATTATTTTTTTTTAATCATATCACCCTAACTAAAGCGCGATAAAGCAACTAAGACGCAAGAATGTGAAAGTGTGAAAGCATCTGAGGAAAATGATTAAAGAGAAATGCCAAGAAGAGAACAGAATTCAAGAAGACAGAACATGACGATTGACATTGCTTTTAATTCCTTGAATATTTTATTTTACAGGAAATCAAGAAGTCGAAGAGAATTCCAAATTATGTGAAAAAGATCAGTTATTTCGAAAATATTTCTCATTAATTTGCCTGAATACATACGGGTGCGATGAGTAAGTAGTCGCCGTTTAATATTTTTAATTTCATGCACTTTTTTTTTGTTTTTGATTTTGTCGGTTGCAAAGTATAGTAGGGTCAGTTGGTCCCAGTCTTTGAGAAAAGAACACAATGACACAAAACACTCTGCCAGAAATTTCGAAACTGCAGGCTGTACTGTTTGGCATTGAAGGTTCAATACGAACTTTTTAGTGTGTTTTGGTGTGAATATGAAGGCAGTGCAGAGGATTAGGTAAGAGTTGGATGAGTCTAATGGTGATTACGAAGGTACGGCGGCTCGGAAAAATAACTCTGATCGTTCTGATGAGAAAAGAACTCCCGAATTTGTTGTTGAGGGCCTTAACACGGAAGCCTACATCAGGTGACTTGAGGAGGTAGTGCTGCCTCAATTTAAGAGGACGGATGCTGGAAGACCCTCTTTTTGGCAACAGGACTCTGCACCATGCCACACAAGTAGAAGAACCCAGTCATGGCTGTCAGACAATTTCTGCGACCACATCACACCTTACATCTAGAAACCTAACACCCCAGACTGTAACCCCATTGATTATTATGTATGGGTCGTAGTTGAGAGAGAGAGAGACAGAGACAGAGACAGAGAAAGAGCGCTCCTTGTAACACCAAAGGATTAAAACAGGATTCACCAACTTAAACAGGGGGACTGTCCAGAAGAGTTGCAGGAGATTCCGAAGACGTCTGAAGGTCATTGTTGAAGCTAATGGCGATTTTATTGAATAAATTGACTCTTCAGTATTTCAAGATAACTTTGTGTAATTTTAGTAAATATATATGTTAAAATGAGGTGTCAGTGTTATTTTCATTTTTTGCGTAATTTAGACGACAGTCCATCCAAAGTACACTGTATATACATACATACATACACACACACACACACACACACACATATATATATATATATATATATATATACACGTGTGTGTGTGTGTAAAAATATATAGAAAATTTCGCTTGAAGATGAAACAGAGCTTAGTACTTTAATTCAAATAATTATTTTGAAGTTTTCGTCTCTTGTTTTGAAACATGAGAACTCATACGTAGCGTTGGAATCATATTTTTAAATAAATAATTATATATATATATATCAGCAGAAAAGGAGAGAAACTTAGACAGGGATGAAATTGTGTGTGTGTGTGTGTGTTTGTATGTGTGTGTGTTTGTGTGTGTGAGAGAGAGAGAAAGTGCGTAAAAATCAAAACATTCCTTTCTGTTTCTTTACTATTTAAACTAAAAGTCGTAAAAATATTAATAGCAGACTCATCATTGACGAGCTGAAATTAAATTAAGAGTGGAAACTGAAATTAGAACAGGGAATAATAATAGTAATGGAAATTGATTTCTAAGGTTGCCTACAGGCCAAAAAATGTCTAATTAAGAAACATGAGCACTAATTATATTGGTAATTATTAGGAAAATGTTGCGGAAATATACATACTAGTATTGTTTTCATTTTTGAATTTTAAAAGAATCCGTAGGTATGCGAACACAAAGGTTGGTTCAATTTGAAAAGTCTTTCTTTCATAAACCATATGTCTATAACCAGTTTATATTGCAATGCGAATTTTTTTTCTTTCAGAAGAGTACCAAAATTAAGATTCCCAAAGCCATTCATGGCAAATAATCCAAACATTCTTCAGACAGCAAGTACTACAGTACCTCTTCATATAATTAAAGACTAAGCTCTTAGAGTTGTTTCAAAATGTTTAGATCCAATCCGTTGTCAGCTTCATCTTAAGAACTCATGCAACATTAGCAATATATAAATGATCAAAATAAAAAATTTCCACAGTTTCTAAATGAGTCATTTTTGTGTTTTTTTTTTTCAATCATCTCATCACAAGCGAGGTAACAAATCCACTAAGATGTGGACGTACTGAGTGTGAAAGAATATAAGAAATAAATGTTATTAAGAGAGAATGATAAACGTACAGGATTAAGACAGAAGATAAGAATTTAAAATACATTTAAATTTTTGAAAATCAAACTTCACTTGAAAGCAAGAAGCCAGACGAGATTTCCAAAACCGAGAAGTGCGAGAGAAGAAACTGTTAGCATAGAACTTACGGTTCCATCTAGCCATTTCAAATGTAAAATGATGAGGTATATCTGACAATTACTGCGCTTAACTTCATTGTCTAGTTTTACCAGAGAGGAAAGTTCATTAGAACAATTACGATGAAAAACACGGGGTAAGCTACGTTACGGCGATGGGAAACGGACTAAAGCCGAGGTGTAGATTTTTCTTTGGATTTTATAAAGAATGTTTAAATATAAATCCCCTGATCATATGTAGGAACAATACTCAAAAGCATGAACGAATCTATCTTACATGTAAGATAGATTCGACAGGGAAAAATTGTCTAACATAACACAGTGACGCAACTATCCTAGCAATATAACTAGCAATTGGTTCAATTTAATTATTCCTCTTCTTGCTAGCGGAAGACGGTTGCCCGATTGGCGCAACTAAATTCATTGTGTATTCGCATATTAACTGCGATTTATTCTCATATCCTTTTCGTGTAGATCAATCTTTCCTAATATTTCAGGAGGTTCTTTATGTGATACTTTAGCAGGTTTTGCTATCGAGGAAACATTTACATAGGCTTTCTGCATTTTTATTCAGTCTTTATTCCAGTATTTTGTACCAAGACACGTTTTTATTCTCATGTCCTAAGTTTGATTGCATCACAGGATGTATTTAGTAGAATTATTAACTGCACGGTGTTGCTTGCCAATAAAGATTTTCAGGAAAAGCTGGCATTCAAGTTTTCATTTAATTCCTTGTATCTTAGTGGTTTTATTACCTTGCTTGGAGTGAAATGATAAAAAAAAAACCACGACGACAATTGATCGGTTCAAATTTTCTAGTATTTCCCCAATTTCTAGTAGGAGCCGAAAATGTATCCTTATTGCGTCACCTCTTGCAATCATATCTAAATTCATATACTTTCATATATATCTACTCCCTCATGCGGCTCAGGTTGAGGAATCGGAGAGCCGAGTTCGAATTCCAGTCGAATCCATTACTTTCACTTACGTGCTAATACCCTTGGGAAAGGTGTGAATTCTCTTCTCCCTCCAGCTATGAGTAAATAGCAGAACAGACAGGGTTCTATAGCCTTGGGTGGCAACTGGTCTAGGAGAAGGACAACTCTGAATACAAAACCTGCGGAGGGTCTTTTGGGGACCTTGTGGCAAATAGTTCACCAGGTCTTTGTATTCGTCCCTTCAAAAAAATGTGGTTGGTTCTGCACTAAGCCTTCACCACTATAATCAAATAATGTACTGGTGTCTGGCTGTCAGTTCCTAGGAACTGAGCTGCCTGACCCTCATATGTCGAATACAACGGGAGAGCCCACTATATCTATTCCCTTATATTTTATACAACAGCCAGTTCTCGATCGTAATATTATCAATTTTTACCCTTTTTCAAGAGCAGTGTCCTCATACAGTATTAAAGGGTTCAAAAAATTAATTTTGAATATGTAAATTTAAAAATCCTTCAAAATTAAAAAAAAAATTAAATTCCTGATATTGAAAAATGAGATTTTACAAACGTAAATATATATTTTTAAAGAGGAACTAAACAAGGAATCTTCATAATAATCTTCATATTTTGAACGTTCCTCAGTTAAACATAAGACGACGACATCTAGAAAGCGATCTTATAAAGAATCAGTTCATTTAATGGTGGATAAATGGTTTATTTATCGACACTTTCCTCATAAGACGACGACAGCTAGAAGTCGATCTTATAAAGAATCAGTTCATTTAATGGAGGATAAATGGTCTGTTTCTTGAAGGAAATGCTTTGAAAAAAAAGGAGTATTTGTTTTCGAAAATATTTCGCATTTCATTTAAGAAATTTAGAATTGTCTAAAAGTCTCTTTTTACAAAACTCGGCTAAAATGTTAATGATAAAAGAGCAATATTTTTCTGAGGTGATTTTTAGTTCGTTCGATGACATCACAACAGGAGAATATTTTCAGCTGTCGGTCAAGATCTTGGAGAGGAGCTGGGCGCCATCAAGCTATCTGAAAGCCCACTAAAAGGATGACGAGGAAGAAGACTCAAAGCGACACCAGGCCAGATCAATGGAGACCCAAATCAACAACGACCGCCCGTCCAATTGACAAACGCCATAATGGGATTTCAATCTTATGGGTCATTTAATGCCGAACTGTAATTTCTTGCGAGCTTTGAAGTAATAAAACTATGATATATGTTATTCTGCTTTCACAATTGAATACATGGTAGATGATACTCAGCTTTTGTGCATACAATTTGGTTTCTTTAAGAATCTGTCGCATATTATATAGATTAATGTCACGAAAGAGCTCTTTCATGTTGGTAATTTTGCTATAAATAAGTATTGCTGGTAATTTTTTCATAAAAATGTATTGCTGGTATTTTTACGATAAAAATGTATCTTTATATTTTCATTGTTTTTGTTTGGTGGTTCAAAATATTCCCATAGCTGTGACCCTTACAGGTGTTACAACCACGGGTCAGGGTGGACATGGGAACAACAGCAATTAAGAGTTGATTCCCCGCTCCTCAAAACCTTTAATCTCCCGATCAGAAGCATTGCTGCCGGATGTAGTTTATCGTCATACCAAGGACTTCCAGGATGGGCATGACAAGTGGGCAGTTAAAGTGACAAACACCATCAAGCTATCAACGCAGTGTACCACTATCGGAATATTGGAACGTTCGTGACGGAAATCCTGAGACCCACCGCTAACAGATCAGCCTGGAGGAGATTGTATCTTCTGTCCTCAGGTGGTCCCGATGAAGGGCTGATTGTGGCGGTGGTGGTGATGAAGATGATGGTATTATATTTAAATAAATTAGTTTTCTTTCTTCTTCTTTTTTCCTTTTTTCTTCCATCTTAATCTTATTTTTCTGCATATTTTTAAAATGATTTTTTCTCAAAAAATGATTGATATACAGAAAAGATAGTAAAAGAAATTTCTGAGAATTAAATGATTTATTTAAAAAGAAAATTAAGTTGATAATTTCATCGATAATCTTCTGCTCTGAAATGATATCAATAATATTAATATTTGTGATGTCAACGAATACTCGTTGTCCATTCCGTCTTGCTCGTTGTAGTAGTGACTTTGTAATCGCAGATACAACTATAATAACGCCGTTGAACAATACTGATGTCAGATGACTTCGAATAACACGCGCACTAATAGTACTTGCCCGAATAGTAACCACGGAATAGTAATCCATATAAGTGATCAATGTAGAGAGTAGCGTATAGAAGAGATTCATGAACCGTATATAATAGAGGATAGAGTAGAAATAGTGATCCAAATATTAATAGAGGATAGACTAGAAAGAGTGATCTGAATAGTAATAGAGGATAGACTAGAAAGAGTGATCCAAATAGTAATAGAGGATAGAATAGAAATAACGATCGTTAGTCATCAGCTACTTCCTAAAAATATGCACTTCCTCTATGGTCACGTGGTCTACTTAATTCAATAATGGGGTCGTCTTTGTTTGCACACTGGCGATTTATGTTCAAACTCAAGTGTCGTCAGCGACATTTAATTCCTATATAACAATTATCAATATCTTTATTTAGGTTTTGTTTCGCCTTTGTTGTTTTTATCACAACGTTTCAGCAGTTGGCCCACCGGCCTTCATCAGCTGTTTGTCAAAACAAATAACCTTCAGGAAATTTCCACCTGGGCCATTAATTTAATCTACAATGACATTTTATCTACTGCTCACTTATTGCTCGTTCAATTTGCTGAAGTTTACTCAAATCGATAAACGTCTGATGAAGGCCTGATGTACACAGCGACCGAAGCGTGTGATAATAACAATAAGAATGGGGACAATAGTCGACATGTAAATAATTGTAGCTCTTCATCATGGACTATTTCATTTGCTATTAGTTTGACACAAGGCTAAGAGTGAGCTCTATGTTATTAGCTTGATAACCATTGTTCCACGTCTGAATTGCTATGATGAAGAGTTTTAGATATTTACATTATTCAAACTCGCTCCATTGTACTCATCTTTCTCGCTCTCATTACAACGTTTCTAGTGCTTGTTCATCCGGGCAACATACATGTAATTTCAAGCTGAAGCCTTTATTTAATTTTTCAGTAGATTGATCTCGCATCGATGACCATGTCTAAGGTTATGTTAATCAGTTATTTTAGTTTCAAAAAGAAAGAAATAAAGGAAGGAAGGAAGAGAGAAAGAAAAAAGAAAGAAAGGAAGGAAAAAGAAAAAGGATGGAATAAATAAAGAAAAAAAGAAATGAATGGAAGAAATAAAGGAATAAAGAAAGGAAGGAAGGAAGGAAGAAAGAAACAAGAAAGAAAGAAAGAAAGAAAGACAGGAAGAAACAAAGAGATGAATGCACTGTGCGATATTGTTGGAAAGTACTTTGTGAGGGAAATTGGGTAGACGGAACTCTGGTTAACAAGGTCGATTTTGCTGTTTTTAAACTGCAAACATCCGTGATAAATGTTGTTAATTCTGTTTATTATAAACAGGAAATTTATTTTATTTGTGTCCATATAAATAACGTATAATAAAAAAATTATATTAAAATAATTGTCGGACTTTGTCCATTTCATAGTGTGTGACGTCATTTGTTTACGTTTAGATGCGTTTCAATAGTTTATTCAATACTTGCTAATCAGACGCTCCGTCGTAGCTAAACTGGTATAGCACGTCAGGCTATGTGACGGTTCCGGATAGGATACAGTTTCGATTCCTGTTGGAGGACGCATATTTTCTATGAAATTTCTTGGACGTTCAGGTCGGCAAATGTTAATACTGTTTATTATAAACAGAGCATTTACTTAAATATCTGTGTCTATATAATAATAAAATATATTAAATTAAATGTATGACAATAAAATATATTAAATTAAATGTCGGACTTAGTTCATTATATATATATATATATATATATGTGCATATATATGCGCGTGGGGTGTTTGTGTGTGCTTTTCATATTTGTGCGTATTATGTGCTTCTGTTTGCCCGGATCTCTGTGTGTTACACAACAGAATTCTGATGATATTTTGTGGTTTCTTATTTGTTGAATTTGATTTTTTTTTCTTTCAGATAAGGTCGATATTTTTTCTTCTTTCCAATTGTAAAATGCCGAAACGATGTTTACTCGATTTTATAAAACCTCATCTTTTGTCACTTTGTCAATATTTTAATCAACTGACAAATATTGATTAATCGCAGGTCGTCTTATTTTATTTCTGGTCAATCGACATTGTCAGGGGTAGTTGTGTGGCGTGAACATTATCTCCGATCCAAAAGTTAAACAGTTTAATTTTCTGCGGGACTTTCTAATAACTTCTACAGAGAAGAGACGCGTGTGGGTCTTAAAATGGGGCTGAAATTTGTGGATATTAAGATTGTAAATCAACGTTTTATAAACTTTTCACTTTGAGGGACTTAACGGTTTTTTTTAATATATTTTCGCGAGTTTCGAAAAACAATCAGATTTTACAAACGAATAAAATTAAATGAATTTGCACTTTGTTATTATTATTATTATTCTGCTTGTTTCTCCCTTAGCTAGCACGGCCGTTACGTCCTGCCAATATCTCATAATTGATTATTCCTTTTTGGTCTCGTGGAAAGAGGTAAAGCACATATCAGTGAGAAAATAAGGAAAAGAAAGAAGTGTTTGATGTCTGTTCGGAAAAAAAATGTTAATTTCTGTTGTAGAGTAGTTTTCACAGTGGAGGCTTGTATTTCACTAAGTCGGTCCTAAATTAGGTTTGACGCACAAAACGTTAGGAACTTGAAATAATAGTTAATGACGCAGCAATCTAGTTGTGGGGTTCATACTTTCATGTCCGACATCGACTGACTCATACAACTCACTCTGAGCTCCACTGGCGACTGCTACTACTACTACTACTTATCTGTGGGAGAGTCTATTTACAATCGAATAGGTCGTTTCGGTATAACAATTTCAAATCCTTTCATTTCTACTCAAATTATAAAATAATGGCAAGTATTCATATTTATTGTTATTTACATTATTCGGACTATTGTCCTCATCTTCGTCGTCATATTTATTACAACGTTTCGGCTATTGTACGCCCGGCCTTCTTCAGGTGGTAGGAATGTTGAACTGAACCCTTTATTTCGCTCACTGGGGTAGACTGTTCTAGTTCCACGTGCCATGTTTAATGGGTGTCAGTTATCAGTTATCTCCTGTTAATTTTCCCTCTGAAGGTTCTCCACTGCCTAAACCGGGTATTGAACTCACAATCTTTGGGTCCTGTCACTGGATCTAACCAACGGCTTTACCCACTGTGCCATGTGTCTTCAAGTAATAAATATGGCGACAAAGATGCGGACAATAATCCGAATAATGTAAATAATGTACATAATACTTCATCTCAGAATTATATCTATGGCCGTCATTGCAATTTTTTGTTAATGTTGTTAAACTCGAATGTTTACCGATGCGATAGAGAAATTACCACAGATATTTTATTGTCATAGAACTCACCATTCGTTAACTGAAGAATTAAGATTCATCAGAAAATTAAAATAGGAAAACTACATCGACAAAGTGTTGTTCGTACCCTAAGTCAAATTAGCTGTTTAATCGCCTCAAAGCGTTTGCCTTATATACTCAATCTAGTAAGGTAAGATCCGTTCCAACTGGTCAATAAACAAATATCGTTTATTCCCATTTACATTATTCGCTATCCCAGTTGCTATACAGAATTGTCAACGGTGCTAATCAGCCATGTTCCTCCAGACAGAATCGTGTTTTCATCCAAAAGTTTTGTGGCCTTGTTAGGGCCAGAAATAAAGACATAAAGAGAGGAATTGAGTTAAACAAATGTATTAACAGAAACAGCAATACAAACATATACGAACGAGAGTGTTACAGCAAGAAACTTTCCTCTCGAAAAGGCAGTACCTGCTCCTGTTTATAACTGGTAGAGTAAATTACCATAACTGAAAGTAATGGATTTATATTTATTCCGATATTTTTTAAAATTTCAAACTTATTTTCAAATCATACCCGTGTTTGAAATAGACGCCCAGTTTTTACTTTACATCTCTAAGGCGACAACCCAATTAGGACCTTTTAAAACTGACACGGGCACCTACCAAATACCGCGCGCAACATACTTTTTGAAAGTACGAGCATAATATCCTCAGTCACATGTAGAAAATGGCTAAAAATAATGTAAGCATTAATAATCGTAAAAACAACATTCAATAATATCAATCATGAACACGGTCTCAACGTATATACATATATATATATATATATATATATATATAGTAATTCAAATAACCAGGTCGGCAATGACTGGCTACTACTATTAGTTTTATGTGTTTGCGCACAATCTTCAGGTAGCCAGTGACTCGTATTACCACCGGGGGAGTCAATTGGCCACCACAATCGTGCGAATTGACGACTTAAGATTTCTTCCTTTGGGGTCATCTCAAAAGTAAGGTCTATGCTAACAAGCCAACAATATTTCAACAGCAGAAGGAAGAGATAATAAGGCATATTGGTAAGATCAAGGATCAACTATGCAGAGACGTCTTCAAAAATTTTAACCATCGAGTGAAGGTGTGCCGCCGAAGCCTTGGCGGACATTTGGGCGATATTATCTTTCACACATAATTGATATGACTTAAGTAACATGATCCAATAGAGAAATAAAGAAATTTTTACCAAAAACGCTGATTTATTTACTGCTGACTTTTATCTGTCTTAATGAAATACTCTTTATATATATATATATATATATATATATATATATATATATATATATATTATGAAATGGACAATTATTTTAAGACATTTTTATGTTTATGCATTCTTTTTATAGATACAAATATTTTAGTAAATGCTCGGTTTATAATAAACAGTATTAAACAACATTTACCGGCCTGAATATCCGAGAAAAAATATTCGTCCTCTGACAGGCTTCGGACCTGTATCCTATACGGAATCGTCTATTAGCTTGACGTGCCTTTAACCGATTTGGCCACAAAGGAGCGTTCAGTTAACAAGGTCAAATTTACTGTCTTTAAACTTCAATCTTTCATGAATCTCTCACGTACATTCGTATCTGCTTTACATTTGGATACGCTTTGAGCAGATATGAATTAAGTTGCGTTATTTGAGTTAAGCATTGTTCTCCCCTGTTAAAATGTAGTAAATCTACATAAAATTATAGTATTTTATGTACACTTCTGATTAAATTTCATAAGAAAGGTACCTATAAATTAATTAAATATCTTTCTTATGAAATTTAATTTCACTCTTAACAGTCTTATTTTAATTTCTTTATAATATATTTTCCATAAAGCATCGTGAACGTAAAGGTGAAAGCTAAGTACAAAAAAGAAAAAAATTAGAGCGTTAAAGTTCACTTAAAAGTAAATAAATTCAATTTTCTCCTTCCGTAGAAGGAATAATCCTCACGTAATCTTTCAATATGTCATTCATCACCTGTCAAGTGACGCGAAAGTTTATGACCGGCTTTGTTTTATTTTCAAATTACATCATTTCAGCGCAGAAGTTAAGCTTGGCTCAAAATATTTTAAATAAACATTATAATTTCTGATTTTCTTAAAATACGTTTTGAAAAAATGATAACTGATTTTTAAAAGAATTTCAAACTGAGATTTTCATTTTTTTATAAAATGGAAAAAAAAATGGTTGCCATGATCGATTAACTGACAATTTTGCTGAGTTAAAAAAAAAAAGATTTTTAACGAAAATTTCGGACGTGCTAGGAACGATTAAAAAATGTAAAAAAATACCCGCAAAATACTTTGATCTTTCCTCTTAATAATAACATAAATATTTAGATGATAACATTTTGTTTTCGTCAAGTTTGGCGTATTTTTCATCATGCTGTGCTCTTTTTTTAGCGATCTCGTGGAGGTACCTATTTTAACTATTACACATGTAACACGCCATTAAGGGTACATCTAAAACATCGTAATCCCAACTGACACCCACCCCAACCCGACAAGGAGGGTCAGATGCAATTTTTAAGTTAGTCAATTTCTTTGAACCTGATATTATTATTATTATTGTTGTTGTTGTTGTTTCTTATTTATAACAATAATAGCAAATATAATATTTAAATATTATACTGTTTCATTGTGAATTTCTAAAATTAATATATTCTTTACTTTATTTTATTAATACTTTTACATTAATCTTATAAATAATAGAGAAAACCTTGCATTTTTTTTCTATTCATCGCAATATCAAAATATAAACAATAACAAGAAAATGACTTGTGAACTGAAACGGGAAATTAAATTGATATTGTTAAGCTAAATATGTTACTACTTCGAGCTGGTCATAGTGAGGAGATGGAAGTGATAAATAGCGGAGGACATGTAAGTGACCCCCTAAATATTTTAGGATCGAACATTATTTTGAACTTGAGACAATTTTTAATATCTCGTTAACATGATCTAAAATTTTAACAGGATTTGTAGAAGTAACTCAAAATAAAAATGTTTACACCCGCCCCCCCCTCTCTCTCTCTCTCTCTCTCTCTCTCTCTCTCTCTCTAACACACACACACTGACTCTAAAATATCTCATCGATTTTTTGAGTATATGAATATAACAGATAGATAGATAGATAGCTCTGAATATACTGACATAGATAGATAGATAGATAGATAGATAGATAGATAGATAGATAGATAGATAGATGTGAATATACTGACATAGATAGATAGATAGATAGATAGATAGATAGATAGATATGAACAAACTGAGATAGATAGATAGATAGATAGATAGATAGATAGATAGATAGATATGAACAAACTGAGATAGATAGATAGATAGACAGATAGATAGGATGTGGTAAGCTTCAGTCGCTACTTTCTCGGAAGAACTACATGCCAATTACATTATAGCAGACCACCCAAAATTCCCTCCATATTCCATGGTGTAGAAGTAAGTTCCACTAGAACAGATTCTTCCTCTGAACCACTTTCCATTTGGAACCGACTCCCAAGAGGATATTTTCTGGATCTTAACCTATTCAAGGTTAGGGTTAACAGTCATCTTCCCCTTCCATCCTTACAAACTGTCTCTTAACGTAATCTTCTACCTCATTGGCCCCCGGGCCTTGTACAGGGTAAACATTACTGTAAAAAAAGAAAAGATAGATAGATAAATATGAACATACTGAGATAGATAGATAGATAGATAGATAGATAGATAGATAGATAGATAGATAGAAGAAAGGGTGAGAAGATATTGAGGAAGACAAAGATTTTATCTTTCAAGCATAAGCTCCTAAGAACACCAAAGGACATTGACGTCAGACACTTCAATGGTTTTGGATGAGTAAAGGTTATCATGGTTGGTTCTGCAGACGAATCGTAACGGCCTGTGCACAGTATATTCCGGTGTTAAATAACTCGGAAAAAAGGGTTGATAAACCAGCAAGCAGGCTGGTTAATCTTATCGGAGCGACATTTTCGTTCTACACTTATCTTTCTCCAGGGTTAATGGTCACTTGTGAAAAATGGAAGGAAACTTATTTCTAAAATCAAGAGATTTGCAGCTAATAGAAAATACAGATCATTTGAAATATTTCCCTGATGTATAAATAAATTTAAACGCTCTTTACATTTCTGTTTTTGCAACACGATGTGAAAATTTGATCTAAACAAAAAAAAAAAACAAAAACAAGCAAAATATTGACAAAATAGATGGGAGGATTATATTATGGAAAAATCATCTTCTGTTAAGCTGCTACGTTTCATATGGAAAGCCCAAAGCGGAAAAGTCATTTTTTCAATATTGAAAATTGAATACTTTTTTTTTAGAACAGTAATTATTTAATATTCAATTTCTAAAGAGAAAATAACCATCGTAAAAAATTCTACAAGTCTTAAGAATAATAACAATTGTAAACGTGCTGTGGGTAAACTCAATAGGAATGCCGATTTACTTATCTCTCTTATTTTTTCATTGTTTCCGTTTAAAACGAAAAGTAAAGCTACTTACATGTGTATAGTGCCTATTGCGTTTCTTTCTATCTATTCTCCGCGCCATTTGGATAAGGGCAAGAAGTGGGTGGAATGGGTAGAACTTGACCTCATATTTTGTGTTCCTTTCCAATGACATGAAAACAATCTGAATCTATCGAAACGTGACAAAGAAAAAAAAAATTTTCCCTTCTGGATGGACTTGCATTTATATGTTTGCAATTCTCTTTTGCTATGAAATTTCATGATTTTCTAAATCTTTCTTTCCTTTGCCCATTTTTTAACCTGCGAAAAATGCACAAAAGTAATATTGTATTTGGCATAAAATGGATTCACGCTATGGATTGACAAAAAAAATTGAGAGTGAGGATGTTGAAGACAATTTTTATTTATATATCTGCACACATGTTTATAAATATATACCAGAACAGGCATATATATATATATATATATATATATATATATATATATGCCAGTTCTGGTATATATTTATATATATATATATATATATATATATATATATATATATATATATATATATATATATATATATATATATATATATGTATGTGTATGTGTGTGTGTGTGTGTTTCTCTCTCTCTCTCTCTCTCTCTTTTTGTGTGTGTAGTATGTATCAGAAAATGAACGAAAGAAAAAAGTGAAGCTAGAAGTGGAGAGCGGATCAGATTAAGCTGATAAAAACAGGTACTACACTTTGATCTTAAACAAAAGGCCGCGAAGAGTTGACCATCGCGATAAAGCTCCATTTTTCAGACGCACGGTATAGAAAAACGAAAACCGATTGAGGGAATCGCTAAAAATCTCATTACCATAAATAAATAAAATCGTCTGCTGAATTATTTTAAAATTATTATTAAGAGACATGTTCGTCAGACGAGGATTTGTCTAGAAAGAAACAAAGAAACAGAGAAGTCTTTAACATCTCCTGCCTTTACCTCATAAATAATGGACTATTCCGTTTTGATTGAATAGTAAAAGCAATTGAAATCACTTTTCATGTACTACTTCGCACAAGTTTCTCATTGTGATACTTAAAGGTGGGGGGGGTCTTCGTTGTTCAATATGATTAGTTAATACTGTTGATCGTCTGCGGCTTTTCACTTTTCAACACATATCAAAATATGTGGCGAAGGAGAACGACTATCTGAGAATATAGTGTTTTGAAACTGAAAGATTGTCTATTCCAGTAGTGATTTTGGCTCCTTGTAATAGTTCTAGTACCTGTGGAAGTAAATGAAAGACAGTTTGGAGCATAGACTGTGATAGATAGATATGAGGAGATTGAGACATAAACATAGATGGATATGGAGAGTCTGTGATAGATAGATAGATAGATAGATAGATAGATAGATAGATAGATAGATAGATAGATATGGAAAGTCTTAGATAGATAGATAGATAGATAGATAGATAGATAGATAGATAGATAGATAGATAGATATGGAGAGTCTTAGATAGATAGATAGATAGATAGATAGATAGATAGATAGATAGATAGATAGATAGATAGATAGATTGGATATGAATGAAAATAGATAGATAGATAGATAGATAGATAGATAGATAGATAGATAGATAGATATAAAGAGATTAAGATAGATACATGGATATGGACAATCTGAGATAGATAGATAGATAGATAGATAGATAGATTGGCGGGAAATGAAAATAGATAGATAGATAGATAGATAGATAGATAGATAGATAGATAGATAGATAGATAGATATGAAGAGATTGAAATAGATACAGAGAAAGTTCGACATGGTCAATCTGTGATAGATAGATAGATAGATAGATAGATAGATAGATAGATAGATAGATTAATTAAATGATTGGCGGGAAATGAAAAGAGATAGATAGATAGATAGATAGATAGATAGATAGATAGATATGGACAGTCTTTGATAGATAGATAGATAGATAGATAGATAGATAGATAGATAGATAGATAGATAGATAGATCGATTGATTGATTGGCGGGAAATGAAAATAGATAGATAGATAGATAGATAGATAGATAGATAGATAGATAGATAGATAGATAGATTGATAGATATGAAGAGATTAAGATAGATACATGGATATGGACAATCTGAGATAGATAGATAGATAGATAGATAGATAGATAGATAGATAGATAGATAGTATAGAGTAATTAACTTGTGATATTTCCCGTTTTCTGATAAGATTCATTATCAGTAATAAGCTGGAATAAATGTATTATCAAATTGCAAGTTGTTCTTGAGTACAGTCCCCTCCTAAAGCCGGGGTTTGGTCAGCGTGTAAACTGCCTTAATAGAGACGGTTTCATTAAATCTGAAGCTTTACAGAAAAATGCGTTGTAAAATGACGAGGTCGTAGTTATTCCCTCTGGAATCTCACAGATGGCTTGAACTTGATGTTATTAACTAAATTGAACAACTATGTACTTCTGTTAACCTGCAAGTTTAAAGAAGCTCGCTATCTTCAAATTGCTGTGATTGGCGATGATCCGTCATGGACAGAGTAGGACTGAAATGAAAAACTACTTATTAATTCAGAACAAAAGCCTGGAGCGTTTTTAAGTCAATTGATAAAAAATAATAATGTATAGGCATTTGTCTATAGATCTATTCAACTACATCATTTGTTGAGGGGTTCTCCCCTTTTTACACAAATGGACTCACCCAGGGTATACATATACTACTGCTAGTGAATACCCGGGCGAGAAAGAAGAACGAACGAGTATGAAGCAGAACGAACGGAACGAGCAAGAGTCACAGTGACGGAGCACGTAGACTCAGTAAGAAGTCATACAGTGATACGTCGATACCAAAGACTGTATATATATTTTGCTACTAACCCGCATTCCTGGAACTACTAACCTGCATTACCAGTTTGTATTATTACGTGAATACATTATTTTCCTATAGTCATTCTTGGCGTTTGTTATTTATTCGTACCGGATTTCATCCCGGAATCCACAACATAAGTGTTATTTTGTTCCATTATCCCATGCCATCTTAAAGGCAGCTCTGTGACTCCATCCTACCAAATCTTGGCTTAAATGGTTTTAAGAGAATTTTGTAGGAATTGTGAGTTGGTTAATTTTGTTTGTAAACGGCACATCGACACCACAATGAGCTTTTTAATGACGTGATTTAAATATTTTGAACGCAAATTGTATGCATACAGATATAATGTATTTTTGATCAAGTTACTATCCAGATGTCTTGTTACTGGTTTTAATATCAGTAGGAATTGTTGTTAATTTTTTAATAGAAAAATGTATTGCTGGACTGGTATGTTTACTATAACAATTTAGTTTTATACTTTCATAGTGTTTCCTTTTTAGTTGGGGTTCAATATAGCTGGGTCCCCTAACAGGTGCTACCACCTCGGTTAAGAGGTGCTTCCACGCTCCTCAAAGCCTCTAATCTCCCGTTCAGAGGCCTTGCTGCCGAATGTAGTTTATCGTCATAACCAGGAATGCTGTAGGAAAGAAAATAATTGTTAATTAAAGATGCAGGCTCAGGTGAGTGGGGTGGGTGTAGTAGAAAATTTCAGCTCAATTTTCGTACCAATTCCTTCTAGGTCGGTAAAGAGACGTGGGGACTTCTGTTCTCCTAATCGAATGTTGCGTAAATTCCGGACTCTTTTCATCGATTATTGCCTTGAATGGATTCAGCTAGGAAGAGGTACTTATTTGAATTCCACATTTAGTTTCATGGAAAGAGATTGTAATACGTACAATGTCCTTCCAATTCCAGCAGATAGACTGCATCACTTCTTTGGATACAGACAGGTTTATGAGTGATTAATAGAGGCTTAGTTCGTTTTCCACAGAAACACTTTTTGTCTATATTTCTGAGATGAGGTATTATGTACACTATGGCACAGTGGATAAAGGCGTTGGTTAGATCCCGTGACAGGACCCAAAGAGTGTGTGTTCAATACCCGTTTTAGGCAGTGTAGAACTTGGAGAGGGGAATTGACAGGAGATAACTGATAACTGGCATCCATTAAAAATGGCACGTGGAACTAGAACAGTCTACCCCAGTGAGCGAAATAAAGGGTTCAGTTCGACGTTCCAATCACCTGAAGAAGGCCGGAGCGTACAACAGCTGAAACTAAATATGGCGACAAAGATGAGAAAAATAGTCCGAATGATGTAAATAGAAACGTTTTTGCTCTACGTTGTTGTAAGCAATCGATTTTTCATCGCCTGTGAATATTATTTTTTCAAATGAGTCCCTTTTGTCGTGTTTGAAAATGCAGTCGATTATTTTTTTTTCTGTTAAATCATGTAGCATCCAAATA